CCCCGCCGCAGCGGCGGGCTGGGCCCTGGGCCCGCACCTGTGGAAGCCCTGCCCTTGCCTCGGGTGTGAGTGTCATTGCTGTTGTGTTTTAGGTAAATAATCCCTTGCTCTGTGTCAGCAAACACAGCCGGCTGCCCACCTGGCGTATTCGTTTAACCAGTCAAGAGCTCCATGGGCCTGCCTTATGCATTGTCTGCTTGGGATTTTATTTCACTGACACCGGTGGGATTTCTTTGCCACCCTCTTGTCCAGTGGCTCACAAGAAGCATTACTCGTGTGGAGGGGTTGAAAAAACGGGCCTAGAATCCCCCCTTTTCAAACAGAAAGGACTGGGCCCTTGGATGACAGTGTTTCTCCACGGCTAGAAGAGACCCGTGGTTCCCATTCATCATTTTTTTGAGCTTTCATCAGTCAAAAAAAATGCCATAAAGTGATTTTAATTATACCTTCACATGCAGATACAGGGAACTTCATTTGTCAGAGATAAATGATCTTCAGAGGCGAGGGGCTTCCTCCCGCTCTGCGGGTGGCCCTGTGCGTGGAGACCTGCAGGGCCGGTGGGCCAGCCCCAGGGAGAGATCAGTTGCTAGAAAGAGCTCCCTCGCCCGGAGCCAGCAGGTGCCTTCACGGAGTCGCTTTTCTTTCTGCTTTGGGACAACGCAGCGTAACCCGACTCAGCATCTGCCCGGGGACCCCTCGTGTTTGAAGACCACTTATGTCTCCTCTCACCTCTCTTTCTCCAGTCGAATGTTTTCAGTTATTTCAGCTGTTACGGTTCAGTGGGTGCTTCGCTGCCCAGGTCCACGGCCTGTGGGTGGATCCGAGGGAGCGCCCGGGAGCTGGGGTGTCTGTGGCGCGGGGTGCAGGGATTCCTGCCTCTCCGGGGTGGAGGTGCCTCAGCCTCCCGGCGGCTGCGCAGACGCTGTGGTCGCTGACGTCCTGAGCCATTTTCACGTGAACCGGCAACTCCATCTTCCCCCAGCCTGTCCCTGCATATCTGACTTTTTTTAAGTGTAGCTTTTTTTTCTGCCTTTATCCCTATTAAATTCCATCCTAAATGAAAGAAATCCTCTTGAAATCACTGTGAATTTTTATTCTCATCTGAAGTTTGGGGGTTTTCCCTTTAGATGCGTGTTTTGCGCAGAATTGATGAGTAGAGTTCATCTGGCACTGGTTTGATTTTTATTGAAAAAACGGGACCAGCTGGAGAGCGCTGACGCTCATCCCTGCAGCTTCCACCTCCAGGTTTATTGTGGCCATTAATCAACCACCTTGGTTGCGGCCTTTAGTCACTATTAAGAACAGTCTCCGCCCTGGTGGTGCGCCCGGTGGTTAGGGCATCTGCCTGTTGAACCAAAGGGTCAGGGGTGTGATTCCCAGTCAAGGGCAAGTACCTGGGCAGCAGGTTCGACACCAGCCCTGGTTGGGGTGCTTGCGGGAAGCAACCAATCGATGAGTCTCACGTTGGCGGTTGATGGGTTGATGTTTCTCCTTCCGCCTCCCTCCCTCCCTCCCATTCTCTCTAAAAAAGTCAGTGGAAAGAAGATGCTGGAGGATTAACAAAAACAAAAAAGAGTATTTCTCCGTCTCACCCCCTTGTGACATTGGAGGTGAGCCGACTGTCAGCCCTTTGGCTCCTGTTTTTGAAGCTTCCAGTTTTATAAGTTGTCTCTATAAAAATTAATATGACAGAAGGCACAGCCTGACTGAAAGGTGTCATCAAGACCATCGCCACCAGGAAATTCACCAACAGAAGGAGCGGGCATGCAGATGCCCGGCGCTCACAGTCCGGACTCTCCGACGGGCACCGAGGGGCCCTCTCGGCTCTGAGCGACAGGCAAGGGAAGGACCAGCTGCGCGGACGGGCAGGAGCCGGACAGGGAAGGCACCAGGGGAGGGGATTCTTAGCCACTGCGCCCAGGCCCTTGTGTCCACGGATAATAAAAGCCCTAAGTCAGAAAGCTTTTCCGCGCACACTGACAGTGGGATGTAGTAGGACTGGGGTACTAGTGTTACAGTTTATGCATCTCACCGCTGACCTGGTCATTAGTGTGGTTAATTAGTAACTCTCTGTCTCACGGTTGTCACGACCAAAGCCTTTGCGTTAGCCCGGCCGGCGCGGCTCAGAGGAGATCTAGGTCAGGGCACAGGCCCGGGCTGCGGGCTCGATGCCCAGCAGGGGGTGGGCAGGAGGCAGCCGACCAGTGACTCTCGTTGATGTTTCTCTCTCTCTCTTCCTCTCCCTTCCTCTCTCTGAAATCAATTTCTTTTTTAAATTTTTTAAAAGCACTTACTTTATTTTCTATCCTTTATATATTATTGAAAACACCACAGAACATAAAGGAGCATTTTTTATTCTAGGAGGGCTAAAGCACTTGGGTAAATATATATAACACTTAAGCATGAATTTCCTAGAGCTTTGAATGCATCTTCCTCGAGGGACGGCCTGACCACAGGCAGGACAGTCGGGTGTGGCTGGTCCTGCTCACTGCTGCGGTTTAATAAACACCTAAATGCAGACGCCCGGTCACGTCTCGAGTCGTCACCGCCTCCCAGGGTCCCATGCACAGAGCGGGGGTCAGCGGGAGTCTTCGGAACGGAAGTCGTAAATACAGGGTCTCCCCGATCTTGATGAATTAAAGCCAGAGGAGGGGAGCCAGTGTTGCTCTGAGGCAGCCATCTGTTGACTGTGTGCAGCGTCTGCATTCCAATGAAGGAAAGTAATGAGGTGAACACGTCGGAACCCACAACACAGAACGGGCTCTGGGCCCCTCAGCTTCATCTCCTCTGGTCCAGGGAGACCTCTCTGGAGTGTGCCCCGCGCGTGGCTCGCTTTGCACTGATGTTGCTACTCCAGGGCTCGGGACGCGCATCAGTGACGAGTTAAATGAGTGAATCAGGAGCTGTCCGCCCAGCGGTGCCAGCATGACCCTGACGCAGGGACCCCTCTGGCCCTCAGTTAACGACAGCTGGGCTCCCCAATAACAGAGCCTGCCCCAGCCCCTCCATGTGCATAAAGGGATGAGCCATTCTCTGGGAAACAAATGTCGTTTAACAATGTGAGCCAGGCTGGCAAAGCACCCTAGGCATGGGGGCTCCCTGCTACGCATGCGTTATTTTCTCAGTGGGATTTATTACAGCATTATTAGTAATTATATTATGCCTATAATAAAATTTTCTAAAATGTCTGCTAGTTTCAAACTGAGGTTTTGAACCTCTTTGTAAACTTAATAACACATTAAGCAGATTATAAACAATATGGATGAAGATAGAAACATACCTAATACTCAGGTAAGTGGAGAAAAGACAGAGTGCATGTGGCCAGTGCGTTTACGATCGTGCAAAACAAAGCAGGTGAAAAACTCGGACCCCAAAAGAGAGGGAAATGATACCAGAATGAGAAGAGAAGTTTAAGCCAGATAGTAAGAGAGTAATAGAGTTTGGTTTGGTTTTTTGTCCGTTTTTTTTGTTCTTGTTTTCTAGGGGGGTTTTGGTCTCTTAACTTTCCTGGATTTTCTAAATGTCCTATACTAAGCATTTATCACTTTGATAAAAGGGGAAAAAAGCCCAAGAAATGTCAAATTAAGGAGGAGTTTCCTGTTGGCCTCCAGCTAAAGAAATAAATACTGCTTTTCTCTGCGATGGGGAGATAGGAAATCTTCCCAAAGAGGGGATGTCAGGGCAGGCCCTTCCCGGAGGACCGGGAGCGCTCACCTCCCAGCTCCCCAGCTGGGCCCGGTGGCTCCCGGAAGGTTCTTCCCATCGTGCGTGTTTTCACCTTTTCATATTAAAGACGACCTCCTGCCCGGATCTGAGCTCCCCAGATGCCTGAGTTTGGGGGGTCACAGCCTGAGAAGAAAATAAAGCAAGACTCCTAGTGTTCCAGCCTCTCGGGCTCTGCGTGTTCCCCGCACGAGCCCACAGACTCTGTCCCTTGTCTTGTCTCCACTCTGCAGACCCAACGAGGGTGACGGTGCCCCCCGCCAGCATGGATGTCACCGTCGGGGAGAGCATCGTGCTCACCTGCCAGGTGAGGCACGACCACTCGCTGGACATTGTGTTCACCTGGTCGTTCAACGGGCACCTGATAGACTTCGACAGAGACGGGGACCACTTCGAAAGAGTCGGAGGGGTAAGTGTCGACGCCAGACCGCCCGCAGGAAGCGCGTGGGACCGGCCTGTGAGCGCTGACAGCTCGGTTACGCGGGAAAGAAGCACAGGGTCAGTCTTTGGTCGATTTTGTTCAAGCACCTATTTCAAGAAACTCTTGGTTAGTTGCTCTGTTTTGCTGAGCAGTTATAAGACTCGATCAGCAAATAGTAGAGTCTGGGTGGAAACCGGGTGCCATAAATAAAAGGGCTTTCGGGTAAAAAAGTCACAGCTCTTGTGGAATTAGATTTAATGCCTTTGACATGATTGACCGTGGTCATCAATAACACCAGTTTAAACTGACTGTGCTTCCGATTTAAGAAGGATCACACACACACACAGACACACACACAGTCTCACTGCCTTCCCACCGCCTGGCTCAGTGGGCAGCGAGTCCCGTCAGGCGGAGAGTCTCAGGCCCAGAGAAATGGAGGGACTCGGGGAAGGTCACAGCAGGGAGCAGCCCGGACAGTAGGTCCCAGACGTCAGCTGTCCCTTCACTCCGTTTGCCTCCCCTCTAACCCTGTTCACAACCACCAGCCACGTGTCTTCTGCTGTCCTGGGGAGACAAGTGACATGTTGTGCTGGAACAAAGGAGGGAAGCCAGGTGCCCAGCCGTTTGAAATAGGTNGAGTCCCGTCAGGAGGAGAGTCTCAGGCCCAGAGAAATGGAGGGACTCGGGGAAGGTCACAGCAGGGAGCAGCCCGGACAGTAGGTCCCAGACGTCAGCTGTCCCTTCACTCCGTTTGCCTCCCCTCTAACCCTGTTCACAACCACCAGCCACGTGTCTTCTGCTGTCCTGGGGAGACAAGTGACATGTTGTGCTGGAACAAAGGAGGGAAGCCAGGTGCCCAGCCGTTTGAAATAGGTCTCTCCGGGTGGTAGGATGTGTCCTTACAGGTAAGACTGAGTTCAAGGTCGATAATCATCAGAGATGCAAATTAAAACCACAATGAGGTCTCACCTCACACCTGTCATAACGTCCACCATCAACAAATCAACACACAGCAAGTGCTGGCGAGGGTGCGGGGAAAGGGGAACCTGGTGCACTGCTGGCGGGAAGCAGACTGGGGCAGCCACTGTGGGAAACAGTGTGGAGGGTCCTCAGAAAATTGACAATGGAGCTGCCGTTTGACCCAGTGATTCCATTTCTGGGTATGTAGCCGAAGAACCCCAAAACACTAATTGAAAAGAATCTATGCGCGCCTGTGTTCACTGCAGCATTATTTCCAGTGGCCAAGGTAAGGAAGCAGCCCAGGTGGCCATCAGTAGACGAGCGGATGAAACAGCTGCGGGACACTCACACCGGGGAACACTAGCCATAAAAAAGAAGGAACTTTTACCATTGTCAACAGCAAGGATGGACCTAGAGGGTTTTGTGCTAATTAAAATAAGNCTGCGGGACACTCACACCGGGGAACACTAGCCATAAAAAAGAAGGAACTTTTACCATTTTCAACAGCAAGGATGGACCTAGAGGGTTTTGTGCTAATTAAAATAAGTCACACAAGAAAGACAAACACCATATGATTTCACTTGCATATGGACTCTAATGGATAAAATAAATGAGCAAACAAAACAGAAACAAAGCACAGACTGGTGGTTGTGGAGGGGGCTGGGTGAGAAGGTGAAGGGATCGAGAGGCACAGGTTGGCAGTTGTAAAGCAGTCACGGGGTGTAAAGTGCGGCACAGGGAATAGAGTCGGTAATATTGTAATAACCACGTATGGTGCCCACTGGGTACTGGAAACATCAGGGGGACACTTTGTAAAGCATATAACTGTCTAATCACTACACTGTACACCTGAAACTAATACAAAATTACTTTGAATGTCAGCTGTAATTGAAAAAAAGAATAGGAACTGAGACCATGTGGGTTCCCACCCCGGCTCTGCCACTCACTGGCCAAGTGACCTTAGGCAAGTCGTCTAACCTCCTGCTGGGGCTCCCTCGCCTGTAAAATGAGGGTAACAAGCGCGCCTGCCTCCCGGGGCCTGTGAGCATTTCGTGAGTTGATGCGGAGGAGGCAGCCGGAGGCATTGCCACAGCGCCTGCCCTGCCCGGTGTCCAGTGCCCTTACGCACCGGCCGATGGCATTGTCACTCGGAAGAAGAGCGACCTCGGGGTCTGTAGTCTGGGGTGGGAAACCTACGTTATCTTCTCCAGTGGGGTTTAGAAAGAAGCCTACTTTCCAAGTCTGACCTAAGGTGTGCTCTTGCCCAGCAGCCGGGCTCCGTGCCGTAGGTGAGCAGGGCTGTGGAACCGGCCTCCGCGGGGTAGCCCTGTCCTCCAGCAAAGGCCACCGTGTGCTGGCCGTGGAGGCACGGCCTCGCGGTTACTGGAGTGCCTGCTGGTGAACTATTTCTGGGGCACAGACACCCATCCCGGGTGCAGTTAGTCCCAGTCATCGCTGATGGAACCTGCATTGGCATTTGGAAAACAAATCGGCATGTTCTCCATCGGGTGACGCATCAGGTGGCACAAGACTTCCACGGAGAGTCTAGTCCACACAGTCCCTCCGTTCAGACCTGGGAGCAACCTTACTGTTGGCCCTAATCCACAGAGGCCCCCGCAGGCGGGCCTTTCCCAGTGCAGGGCCCCAGGGAGGGACTGCCAGTGCCGTGATGGGCTAGGGCAGGTCTGACGGAACCTAGGGGGCTGAGCCAGGACTAACTTAGCATAGCGTTCTGGCTCCGTTTTCTGTAGAAAGACAAACAACCCAAAACTCCAGCCGCTTTCTTGTCCATGCATTATTTTTATTTTATTTTCCATGCATTATTTTAAAAGCGGAAATCAAGTACCAAATTGGATACTTTTAATTACCTTCAAAGCCATCATTATCCATGGGGCCAAGATGAACTATAGATCCCCAAATTTGGGGCGTAGTTCTCACTTCCGTGAGCTCTGTTTCCAGTCATTACTGCTCCCCAGCTGTAGCTGATGGACACGAACACTCTTCCTCCCATGAGCAGGTCTGAGCCACCTCACGTAAGTTATTGCTTCAAAGACGGGCAGCAAAGGGGCCCAGAGACCCAGACCCCTGAGGTCCTGTCCCAGGTGCGTCCTGCACAAGTCGGTCTTATCGCCCAGGCAGCCTCCCTATTTTTAATCGGCTGTGGCTCACGCCACTAATGCTTCCCGTCAGCCAGGACAAAATAAATCCATTAGTCACAGTGTCCTTCAAGTGATAACGGTATTTAGAGCTCATTAAAAACTAATTGCAGCCACTACTTTATCAGCAGGATTCAGCTGGCGATTTGATGATCCGAAACATCCAGCTGAAGCACGCGGGGAAGTACGTCTGCACCGTGCAGACCAGCGTGGACCAGCTGTCCGCAGCCGCCGACCTGATCGTCAGAGGTACGGGGCCCGGCAGACAGTTCCGTGGTATCTCCTCCCGAACAGTTTTAGCTGAAACCCCAGCGGGTTGGAGTGAGGGAGGAAAGTCAGAGAGACGCTAAACACTGTAAACAGTGGTGACCGGTCTTCGGAGTTTCTGGGCATCAGTTTCTCGCAGGAGATGGTCGGAAAAGGCGGGGCAAATACAGTTAGTTTGTCCCGAAAATCACTCCTGGCCGTGGCCCAGTGAATGACGCCGGAGCTGAGATGACCTAGGATGACATCAGATGGAAAACAAGTGGCTTGAGGAGGAATCAAGCTGCACTTTTTGAGGTTTCACTGGAGCTACCCCAGATTCGTGTGTTAGGCCTGGGCTGTGAGAGTGGCCAGCGTGACATCATCACCAGTTTTTCACAGTTTCCTCTTTTTTCTCTAAAGCGGGTAGTTCTGTCCCGCTCCTGAAATAGGGCTGTAGAGAGAAAGGTCTCCTCACACCTGGGACGTGATGCCGGGAGTTCACGGGCAAACTGACACTCATGGGAACTTCTTGGCCTACGTCAGCCTGCTGGCCACAAGCCCCGTGTCTGAGCCACACCGATGGACTCAGGCCCAAGCCCCACGAACCAGTCTGTAAGGGAACGACACATGGACTTTTAAGGAGTGTTTTTAAATTAAATGCAAAATCTGTATGAACTGATGCAGGCACCAGCATGCCCAGAGGTTTCCTAACCTGTGGAAAGTGAAGCCTTTCAGAACCTCAAAATAGCGGCTCACCAGCATCTCCTTTCCCCAAGGGGGCGGGGGTAGGCTTCCTGGGCCAGCAGAACTTTGGGGGCAAGAGAATAAAATCCAGGGGCTGTCAGACGTGCAGACGGGTGAATCTCAGCGCCCGGAGAACCGGGATGGTTGGGAGCCACAGCCTCTCTCCCCCGGGCACAGCGTCGGGGGATGCGTGGGAGTCAGCAACCTAAACTGACTGTCGTGAGAAGTTAAAGAAAAATGGCTTTTCCATCTTATCTGCTTTGGTTCCCCTTTAAATTGCCTTAAAAAAAAAAAAACAAAAAAAAAAAAACCCTTTCAGTGCAGATGAGGGCAAGATAAGGGAACAAACTTCCCACCTGGGCGGAGCTCCCCACAGAATAACTTACAGAAATGTGTTTATTTCCATTTTAAGATCACCAAAGCTGGTCTGCTCTCCCTATGGGGACAAAAGGATTCTGTTGCCGAAAATGTATCCTGTTTAATTAGGATAATGTTCAGATCAGCAGTTTAAACAGCAATAAATTACACTAATAAATATTTAACTCGGTGCTACTTGAAGTTCTTAAATGGTACTGTATACTCATTTCACAGAAAACAGCATTAACCGCCGGGAGGGATTTACAGACACAGTCTAAGAGAAAGTCTAGCCCAGTCCGTTAACAGGGCCAGTAAATTAATGCACCGCTTTAAACCGGCGTCTTCCGTTTCATCTTCCCCAGCTCTGCCCGTAGCCTCTCTGCGTTTCCCGAGGACGGGCGGGAGGCGTCCCTGCCCCGCAGGAGGTTTGCGTATTCGAACCCAGGACAGCTGTGAGCCTCAGCTCTGGCTTCCGTGGGCCTCGATACTCACTTGATTTAACCTCTGGTCAGCCTGTGACAAAATGTCAGTGAGCCCCTGACCACGAGAACATTCTGTCCAGAGGACAGGCATTTGCTCATTGAGTCGTTTTGAAACAGGGACCCCACTTCCCCCCCAACCAAGCTGGTAAACATTACGTAAGGGCCGTATCTGCCTCGGGGGTGGGGAGGGATGGGACTGAAAAAGCCCCATCTTATCTCCAGCGGCCAAGTCCGCCCCACCCCGCATTTCCTTCTTAGCTGCCACTGTGGGCCCAGACACTTTTATCGGTTTTGTCCACTGAGGAGTCTGGGGGAGATACTTTTCAGCTTCTGGCGCTCAGATTTCAAAGGCCACGGAAGGAGGAGTCCTTAAAGGGGTGTGGGGTGGGATGGGAAAGCCAGGGTGAGACAGCTGGTGAGAAGAACGATTGTATCACCTTCTGGGCTTTATCTGGTTCATAAAGGTCCCAAAGACCAAAGGTTACCCCAGTTCTCTCAAGGCGGCATTTGACTGACATGCTGAAATGTCACCATGGAAAATTAACCGACTCCAGCACACGCATTTCCAGACCTCTCCTTCGGGAGTGGGAGGGAGGAGACAAATTTAGTCTCACCTGTGGGTCTGTAAACGTGACTTGTGGCGTAGGAAAAGGGAATTTAGGGCGTCGCGTGAAGGGTGCGGGAGTGGATTCCAGAACAAAGTCTTGCTTAAAGAGCTTGCCGTGAACTTTCCGCCACCCGGCGCCGCGGAGAGGGCCCGGCAGGGTCCCGGCGGTCCATCTGACGGCAGACCCTCCTGGGAGTCTCTCCTGTGCCTCTTCTGGGCAGGACTTGTCATTACAGGTCCCTCCCAGTGACCTTTGCGCTCCACCTTCTCTCCCGCGGGTCAGCCCTGCCTTCTGAGAAAGGCGCTAACTGCCTGGGGAGAGCTTGCGTGTTTGCGTGGTTGCCTCGAGGGCAGCCTCAGGTCTCTGCTCTGGCCCTTGGCATTTCGTGTTTGCCTGCCAGCCACTTCCACCCTCTGCCCCGTAGATTCCCAAGCCCTCCTCTAAGGCGGATCTCCTCCCGTGTCGGTGGCTTAAGTCCTCAGACGGAAGCAGTGCCCCTCAGGGAGGGCGGGACGGAGGGAGCGAGGGAAATACAGGCAGGAGCGGCAGAGGCGGGTCCACAGACTCCAGCTGTGCTCTTGGCAAGAGCGTGTGTGTGCATTTGTTGTGGGGCCGGGCGGGCCCACGTGGGCCAACACTGCAACCCCCAGAGTTCTGAAGCCACTTCTCAAATCCACACCCTCAAGGGCGGAAATGACCGCTTCTCGCTGGTGTGTCCCCAGGTCATAATGCCTGACCTATGTATGGTAGAATCCTGCAAATACAGGGAGTAAAGAAATAGGAATTAAACAATCTGGGCCCTCAGGGTACCCCAACACCCTCTCTTAGTATCTAGAACAAATATTCTATGGCAATTCTTTGTTTACCTGTTAGATTTTCCTGTTTATTGTGAGTCCCTGAAAGGAGGGGGTGTGTTTCCCTCATCTCTAGTTTTAGAGCCCAGAGGAATGCTGGGCACCTAGTAGGTGCTCAGCCAGGAATTGCCAGGCACCTAGTGGGTACTCAATTGATAGGAATTGACACGGGGTGAGTCCTTGGTGGGGTGAATAAATGGTGGAGGGGTCGGGCCCCACTCCATTCAGTGGTCCCTTACTTGGACATTTGAACGCATTCCTGCACTTCTCAGGGTCTTGCTCTTTGGCAGGTCCCCCAGGCCCCCCCGAGGCAGTGACCATAGACGAAATCACGGATACCACCGCCCAGCTGTCCTGGAGGCCCGGGCCCGACAACCACAGCCCGGTCACCATGTACGTGATTCAGGCCCGGACCCCGTTCTCCGTGGGCTGGCAGGCCGTCAGCACAGGTACCACAGCGGGCGCCCGGGGCGGGCGTCTCACAGGCCTCCGGACACTCAGCGTGGCGGCCAGAGCAGAGGCCGCGGGCATCGGGGTCCTCATGCAGATACAGCCGCCAGGACACACGACGGCCGTGTTTCCTCGGTCTCAGCCAACTGTCCCCTCGTTTACAGAGAGTCCCAAAAAGTCGTACACACACTTTGAATGATTATAAGGTCAGTGTTTACTAGCACACAGCTCATTTTCAAAACTTAATCTACAGAAATGAATAACTTTTTTGTCAACGGGTGTTTTCAAACCAGTGACCGCTCTGGTCCAGGCCCTGCTGATAACGGGAAGCAATGGAATCGCCAACATCAGGAATCGTTTCATGTGGTATCTGTGCCCTCGATGTGTTGACTGTTGCTGGGTTTGTGCGGTCACTTTATCTTTCATGTGTCCCCATCAAAAAAGTCGAGTGGCACTTTAGGATGAATTTTCTTTGTTCAAGGCTTAGTCTGGCTTCACCCATTAGCTCAAAGCAGCTAAGCCTGAAAAGGAGTGAAAATTAAGTGAGCGATCAGCTGTTGAAGTGTGTGTACGTTTTTTGGAACACTCTGTATTTAATGTATTTCTTCTCCATATCCGCTCACTTCTGTTCGTTTTTTAACGCATCCTAAGCAATAACATCTGCGAAATGACAGGTCTGTGGTGTTGGTCCTATTTCCCCTTAGCACACAGTTGAAAGTACATTAGTTATAAAGATGAAAGGCACCCACCTGTGTGCCCCCTGTCACCTGGCACGGCCCGCGGTGCACTTGGGGAAGCAGAGGCTCCGGCTGGCACACAGCCGGGCTTCGGGATGTGTGTGCCCTGCTCGAGAGAGGCCAGTAGCCAGGGACTGGCCGGGGCCTCTGGACTCCCCGCCTGTTTTTTTTAGATGTATAAATTTGGGCATGAAGAGCTGTGAGATGTGGTTACGTTAAAAAATACGTGAATCGGCCGTTCCATGGCTGACCCTGTTTTGTTATTTTATTCAGGTTTCACTTGGGGGGAAATGGACAAACCAGTAGCTATTGCCAGCGAGGCACACTGGCCAAGCCCCCGAGGGTGGGCTGAGTGGCCGCAGTGTTTGAGGGAGAGATACACGAGCGCTGGGTCCGGGCTTACGCAGCTCAGGAGCGAGTCGATTTTCACAGCCTCTTTCCCCACTTCAACTTACGCAGCTGCAGAAGTGGGTGCTGTGCTTGCCGCTGAATCGGTGCCTTCCCCGAGCCCCGGGCCGGTCAGGGAGGGACGGGAGAGCCTGGGGAGAGGGGCTCTGGTCCTGGCCGCAGAGCTCGGCCCGGGGCCCGGCGCCCGGCACGCCGCTGCTCAGGGCACAGGAGGGTTGTCTGCGTGCGGAAGAGAAGCGGTTGTGAAACTTTGTTGCAAATAGGGAGCGAGGCGCAAGTGCATGGGGGGGA